TAGTCGTACATACGAATCATCACGTGCACTAATTGAAAGAATAGTATATACCAATTTGAATCGTGCAGATTGGCTTGCGGATTTCTGCGCATTTCGTTGAACGAACGACTGATGATCGTGTTTGGAGCTTTGCTTTTAAGGAGAAGCTTCTGGAGACTGTTTGCAATGATTGTACATTTGTTTTTATTCTTTTGTTTAGTTTTCAGTAGATTTCTTCAATTTCCTGTATTCTTTTTTTGCCGGTAAATTCGCGGGTAATTTGAGGGCGTAAAAATACTCAACATACACGACAGTGTACGAACAGTGTATAAACCCAAAGTATAGCGATCGTTGCAGTATTTGGTCAACGAAACGATCTGCCGTGCAATTTTTACATTCATAAAAGTATGAATTCACGCGAAAGCCCGCAGTAACGGAAACTAATATTAGAATAATTTCCAAGTGTTGAAATATTCTATTGAACACACGCGTATCTCCGAAACTTTTCATTAAAAGGCAAAGCCTCCACGAAAGAAGCAAGTATGCGCAACTTGGACTTTTAATGTGCTTTATCACGAAGAGATGTTAGGAACGTTAACGATCCTCGACCAACGTTGCATATATATTTATCGGGACCATTCTGTCACGATCGGACAATACGTTGAAATTCGTATTCGTGGTCTCCGGACGCATCACTGTGTTACCAAAGAACACTGATTACTATTATTAATGTTATTATTACTATACGAGTTACACGTAGCGCTATATTACACGACACGCGTTTATTTTTTCTTCTCTTTGCTTTGCTCATGTCTCACGATTCTTACGATCGATTGTTTCATCATCGTTGTGTTTTGTTCCAACGCGTTCGCAGAGGTAAACGGGAGAAAGAAAAAGTATTTTCGCGTCACTACCGATATCTTCCGCCACCCAGAGAGAGAGAGAGACTCCTCTTGTCTTATTACCAATTTCATTTGCGTCTATCAGTCGTTATCTACATTTCGTTACGTTTCGCCCTGCTTGGCACTGATTGCGATTTTTTTTTTTTTTTTCGTAGCTACCTTCTCCTCCCTCCCGAAACTGACGATTTGAAGATAAAAGGGGGAGAAGATAATTTCGAGAAGTGCTAGCTTATTCAGTTTCATCGTTGTTCTTTTTTTTTTTTTTCTTTCTTATCTTTTTGTACATAGTATACAAAGAACGTCGTCGTCTTGGGGACGCGACGACCCAGAAAAATCGAGAAATCGGGAAGGGAACTGTGAGTTGCTTTTAACGAAATACGAAGAGAAAGAATATATTATTATTATTATTATTATTATTATTATTATTATTA